TTATCTGAGGGGTAGAGTGAAGGAACTAAAAGGGCGTCACAAATGCGATAGAGGAGACCTTGTGGAGAAATTTTTGAGACTTTCGCGACAAATATTAGGTACCGGATATTTTAGTGTCGCTTTTCTGAGTTCAGGAAGTTTTGGGGCCGATTACTATGGAAAATCAATATCCCAGAAGGCAGTTTTTGCTCATTAATATTGCGAAATATGTTGCTTACCGTCTTCTATTGTTGGTTCACAATTTAACTTTCCCCCAATTTTTATACTTTCTAGATTATCTGACACCACCATTCCTGGGTCCAGTGTGCAAATTCGCATGTGTGTACCAAATGCATCAAAATTCTTGCTGAGAGCTGTAACCTCCGCCCACCAAACCAGCATTGCATTTGATGGAGGGAATACTACCATTTAAAATGCTCATCGGTTTTTCACAGTTTTCTTAAAAGACAGTAAAGTCTTTGAAGGGATGCCCGCAACCGTCGCCAAAAAGGTGGTCCTAGCTAAATCAGTCAAAACGGGGCTGCACCAGTCTTGTGCTGGAATGGTAGGACACCCTAGCAGTTACTGATCGATGGTGCACAGACGCTCTAACGAAGTTGATTGACCAAGAAATTCTTCTAATAAATGTGCTCACCTGCCACTCAGTGTGCTCAAAAAGGGTGCGTTTTTGACCCCTATGTGGCAAAAAAGACTCCGGGAAAAATTGTCCAGTTGAGCTGGTAAGTAATAAATTTTCCACCAAACAGTGCAGACCCTACTCTAACTAAATGTATACATATTTTGTCCAGGCCCAACTGTTTAGCAAGGTAGAGGGATGATTTGTCAGATGATGTCAAATTCGACCTACCTCTCTTTTTCGTCTCAAAAAATTCCTAACTTTAATCGTACGAGGTTTTCACTCATACTGGTAAATGGGAAAGGGCTAATGAGTCATTCGATGGATATGCCGTTTCACTCACTGGATTTTGAATTAAAATATTGGTGGTCCGAAACTCGCGTCGCAAGACTCGAGCGATGTGAAAAAACTGCACAACGCATAATCCGGTACTAATATTTTTGAACCTCCCACCGTTTTACGCATTTAAATCAGCGTGACACTTCAGGTTAGAACAATAGTGAAGTAAGGAATCTAGCAATACTAGCAAACTTTACAAACTAAGGCGGAACTTGAAAACCCCGTGCCCTCGTCAACACCTTTGCTCATATCTGCATTCGCTTATACAGACTGTAAGAAGAACTACACAACCCCAGACTTAGTAACTCTCTTTCGTCACATTCCCTTTTCTGATCATGAAGTTACAGAGAGGACCATTTCCGGACTTATTTTCCAACCACTCCAGAGAATATCCCAATCTACGCATAGTACAATCAAACAAACCTGGAGAATATTAGGCAGCTCAAAGATTGACTGCAAGCTCTTCACAACTTTGTAAGAGCTTCCTAGTTGTGCCACACCTTCTCGCCCACCTCCAAGAACACCGCTTAATTCGCCAATCAGACTAGATATATTCTTCATGTTTCTACTCAAGGATTCCATTTCCTAAAGAGCAGAAAAATGAAGAAAGAGGAAAAGCTTATTGCCTAGAAAGTCACGGAATAAAATTTTCGAAGTTTCATTTCATTTGAATTCAAAAAAGAGATATAGTGTGTCTTTAAGAAGAAACCTTTCTAGCTTAATGAGCTTACACTGTCCAGAAGATTAAATTCATCTTGGATTTTCCTGACAGTGCTCGTCGCCGTCAAGAATTTGTTATAATTCTCATAGACTAACTGATGAACATCGGAATCGAGGCGGCGAACCTACAATGACGACCGTTCCAAAAGAAAATCGAGAATCTGCTATGTACCTACCGATGACACCATCTCCTCCTCTTCCTTGACAAGTTCATCAAGATTCTTCTCTTTGAGCTGTGAGCTCAAATAAGCATCTACATCGAAGTCTGCCGAAGTGACGTCCAAAACGCCAACCTTCTGTGACATTCCGATTGGAATTAATCTCTTCAATGGCTTTTGAGATGCAGAGTTTAAAAACTGCAGAAGCTGGATGGGTACACAACCATAATGTGACCGAACAAAGCGATGACGCAAGTTGATGGAGTTATTTTCGGAGACTTTCGAAGAAGCTTTTGCAGTCTGCAATGCATCCATGACACCTTAGTTGTCGTCAAGTCAGACAGAGAGGCAACCAAAAAGTGACTAAAGAATAACTTTGAGAACTTGGATGGTTTGTGGAGCTTGTTTCTTTTAATAGCCTAGCTGGGAGAAGCCTAGTAAGGTTTCATGGGTCACTGTGGCTCGGGGGGGGGCACTCCACATGACACAGTGGAAACTCGAACATTTCAACTTTGCGGCATTGTCAAGTGACGTCACTCACCCCTCGTCCACATTACCTAAGACAGACTACATCTCTGTTGCTTCAACATTATTTTCCATGTGCGCACAACTAGGTATGACATTAACATGCGCTACCGCCAACGGTGAAGCCCACACCCCCAGCTTCGCAGCCACTATTGCTCCGGTCTTCATTCCTAATCGAGGTAGGGGGAGCGGATAGCTGTAATTATTGTTCGTATACACTAAAAGTAATACAAATCTCCCCAAGTTGCAAAATCATCAGCCTGGTAATCCTTTTAACTTTGTTTTTAACGATTTAATTTCTTCATTTTCAGTGCATGTTTACCTTGACCTACATACATACATTAAATGTAGACAGTTTATCAGGACAATCCCAGCTGGGGAGACAGAAAATTTGGAGGTATTTCGTCTCCCAACCTTGGAGAGGGACTCTACGTATGAATCTTGGCTCTACGCTCCCATGAAAGATAGCGTCAAAGTGGGGGAAAAGCGGAAAGCGAAATGTTACACGCACCAGGGGGAAATATCTCTCTTGGTAAGTGTTGTAGTCTGTTGCGCTGAGGCAGATACCAATAGTAACTCGTGTGCTTCACTTCTCCCCCTATTAATGCATGAGAACCATTCAGATACGAGCCTAGTCTGTAGATGGTAGCCGCATGCGCTTAGCTTCAGTTCAGCGCGAATCTAGTCCGGATGGACTGGGGGGTGCACACCGATTTATTCTCAGAATACGTTATTCCGACTTGTAGGGACAAGTGCTTAGTGCTGTGGCGTACCAAGACGCTATGAGGATAAATCGCACGTTCGAGCTTTTCACGCATGTCATGCTGGAGGACCGAAACAGCTCCTTCCTCTAAGGCTCTACGGATCCTTGCGACATTCCAGACCAAACTTAAAAGTCCTCCAAAGATGCACTACTTCTTTGAGGCGCGAGTTCCCTCCGCTGTGGTGTTATTCTAGTCTAAGACTTTCTATCTGTCTCGACCTGCGTATTGCGTCCTTGGAAGCACGTAAGATAACGCAGGTCGTCACTCAAGCAGCTTTAGCTTTGTAGCCTCTACCTGATGCCAGCAAGCATGGGGTTAATTTCGTCCTGAGGGTATCAACACTGTATACCATCTTTGGTTGCAGTCGCCTCGCAGACTGGGTTATCTATCATTGGGGAACCGAGCAGGTCATGGCTTTGCAATACCCAAGCTTTTTCATACCTGCCTGTCAAAAGTCGAAGTATGACGAACCAGGTTACGAAATCTTCTGGAAGGTTAACTACAACCCTTGAAACGCTCTGGTGAATCGCCCTCTGCACTAGGCCCTAAAGTGCTCAGGCGCAGCTTTGAAGGGTTGGCTGATTATTCTCGGCGCGCAAGCGGACGCTTACGCGGTTCGAAGTTTCCCGCCCCTCCCGCCCGCTTGCCCGCCTGCCCTCCGTCAATCACGCGGGACCACCCAATTACTTCTCCCGTGGGTTTTTTTTAACTTGTTTCTTGTTTATTTTTTTCATAAATTTTGGCAGTACAGTATTTCGAGTCTAAATGTCGATTGCAATTCTCTAGTCGGATCGGAGGGATGTAAGAGCTTTATACGTTATAGACAGTGTCGATCGTCTGGCTAATCCGGTCATTTCATGGGGGGGGGGACTGCTTGAACAGAGATGTTTGGCAAAAGAGCTTTCCAAAACTTAGTTTTTGAGTGAATTTCATGCTTTTTGCGATCCGAATTAATTTTTATTCTGCAAAATTTAGCAGGGAACGTGTGAAATCCCTCCCTTCATTTCTGCTTGCTCAATCATCTCCAAGAATTCCCCGGCGTTATCACAAAATATTGTCGCCTAAAGTTCATCTGGGCAAAGTACCCATGAACGATGGGGGATTTGGTGGAGAACTTTCTCTGTTGGCACGCGCTGCGCACTTTACCTTCGTTGAGAGTCGTAGTCGTATTTGAGTGCGATTTGATTTTTGTGATGGTCTTGCCAGCTGATGTGTTTTTGCCCTTCCACACGTGTATGGTACCAATTAACCGATCGAGGGGGTTGGATGGTTGACGGACTACTTGAACCGGTCCTTTAAGCCGCCTCAGATCCATCTCTCGTCTGCGCTCTCTCACCTTATCAGCGGCTCATGACCATTGTGATCTCACACATTCAAACTTTTGCCACACTGTAGTTGGCTCACCCACCTCGGAGTCCCTCCCTCCTACAAGGCTTAGTCCTAGGGCTCTCACCTCCTTCCTTGGGATTTGGAGCCGAGCCAGGCGCCGTTCTCTAACTGTCTGTGCCCTCCGCCATTCGTGGCAGGACCATGGAAGAAAGTTCAAGTAGTCCGTAAACCGGGGTTGGATGGCTTGGCGAAGTGTATTTTTATACTTGAAACAATTGGAAATGTCTCTTGAATGGTCGGACATTACGGCGCTTTAGAGTCAGGTCTAGAGCGAAAAGATTCCTAAAGCTGGTGTCAGAGTCCGCGATCCGTCGCAGGTTTCTCTGATTTTCGCAATTTTCGCGATTTTCGCGATTCACGCGATTTGCGCGATTTTCGCCGCAGGTTTCGCGCAAATCGCGTAAATCGCGTAGGAGGATGAGGTTACGTTCTCCATTAGTATTCCTGTTAGTTCTTGTCCCTCCGATAACCACTAACTTTCGACACTTAGCTCTGAACTGTCCCTTGTTGCCTTTTCATGTGTCCTTCTGTTCCAGTGCTGGCAAGCGTAAATGAAAGGCATATGAAATGTTCGAGAAACTATTCGAGTTTTGCTTTTCAAGCTTCCACCTTGGGTAAGGTAGAAAATTACCGCCACCGAGGTGGTTGCAAATAATTTGCAAATAATTAGTTTTGGAAAGCGCTTGTTGAATATCGGGAGAATGCGAATAGGGAGGGTGGTGTACTGGGTAACGAGTCAAGCACTACCTTCTTCATGTATGGTGTTATCCCTCTTAATCTCATTTTTGCTATTACATCTCCTCATGCTCACCTCCCCAAGCTCCACGACATCTGCGAACATGTAATTCGAAAAGTAAACAGACGACCAACTAGGGATCAATTTCAAATCAGGGGGCTTATCACAGATGTTGGTGTTATTTCCTTGCTTCTTGCACAGCATTTCCTTACCTGTTATCTGCTCAAGTTCAATATTGTTCGTTTTTAGTGATTAAGCTCGTTCATTTTCTGTTTATTCAGGGAAGATTGTAGTAGTAATTTCGGGTTCAATGGATGGAGCTGAAATCGAAGAAACCGTCGAAGTGGAACTGGATCTCAAGCCGACGTCACATTTTGAGGTTTCGCTTTTCAACTAGTCCATTCATTATTTGCACTTACGTCTTTGTAAAGCATCCCAGTGTTCGCTTCATCATTTCGCCTCAGTTTTGGTGCGGATGGTTGAAATTTAGCACCAGTCTTTCAGGTTCAAATGTAGCTTAGGCACTTCATAAGGCCGATGTCAGACTTTGCGAATCGCGCGATTCGCTAGCGTCCGCGGTCGCGTTGCGGTACCAGCCAATTGAGTGATTCACTGGCCGCGACGCGACCGCAGACGCTAGCGAATCGCGCGATTCGCAAAGTCTGACATCGGCCTAAGCAGAAAAAACGGAGTAGCCTTCAACAAAAAACTGAGCGAAAATGGGTTGCTAATTTCTCTGAAGTTTATCTTTGAGCATCGTGGCGCTTAGCAAAATGAGCTCTCATCAAATTTCTGTTTATACGCTTCATTCTGACGGATCGAAAGACTCGTTCTCCTGTACATGACTAACCATTGCGCGCGGCATGCGCCACCATGTGGCCCACGCAGATTAGAATCGCTTTGATTACTAATTTGATTCTTTTTTCACACTTGAATAACATTGCACACATTGCTGGAGGAATTGCTGGAAGTCCTTTGATGAAGAGATAGTTATATGCGTTTTTGCTCGCATTAGTTGGTAAGGGCTCCTAGCATTGGGTTAAAAAACTGCTAAAAGATTTACAAAACGTGGACGTCGCAAATCCAGCTTACCTGTCTCCTCCGGTTTGGTGATGACCTACCTTTTCTTCAGAATTATTTTTTTGATTTTTGCTTGTTTTCAACTATTGCGCCCTGCGAAAGTTTCACAGGTAGGTCGCGGGCAGAACTTTCATCCAGGAACCGAACTCTCAATTCTCGCTTTCAGGGTAGTTATGCTAGCGATAACGATGGTTTAATTGTTTGATTTGCTTCAGGTTTCCGATTCGAATGATGTGAGGACCGATGATGAAATCCTAGCGTATGCACATGAGGTTAACGAAATCATTAGGTCTATCCTTTCGGTATAATGTTGTGTCAAAATACCATTTCAAGATCCCACCACCTGATGAAGGTTTCCTTCATGTGTGTGCAGCGATTGATCCGAATATGTCTGACGACTTGAAGGATAACGTTTGGGCACAAGTATGTATGATGATTGAAAAGGTCGATTTAGATGTGAGTTGATTACTGTAGAAGGTCGTCAGAATCTAATAATCGTCACTGTTGCTCTATATGCGTGATTGTGAGAACTTACAGGATGAAACAGTCGCGTATGTTGCCTGTGCCTTCTACTGTGTGATGCTTGAAATGGAGAAATTTCAACAAAGGCCATTTCCTTATTCTATGCTTTCAATTTTAAAAATATGCAGTGTTAGGTAGTCATTATATATAGAAAACTTCCCTCATAGGTATAGTTGACTCTTGTTATTTTAGTGTAATTGAGTTTTTCGATAAACTAAGTCGATGGATTGAAATTGCTACTTCATCGAAAAAGATTATTGATCATTCTCACAGAATAGAGGTAAGGATTTCAATTTTTTGTTGTCAGTTATGCCTCTTTTCCCTCCATGTTTTTTTTTCCTTACGTCTCTGATTGTAAGAGAAAAGACGTATAATTCTGTAATGTGCCTGTTTCAGTCATCACTTTCTGTTTCCTTTGTGATATTCAAGAAACTTTTGCCCATATTCCGCAGTCTCTTTCAATTGGTTGGGAACGATTCTGAGCATTCATTCGATTCGAGTGATCTTTTCACAATTATTTGGTTGATGACCATAATCATGAAAAGTAAGCCACTCTACTTCTTCTATTGAAATGATTTACTTTGATGTTTCAAGAATCGTTGCCAACGGAGGATCTCATAACGTCATTTCATTTATTGCTTTGTGTGGTTGAATGGGTGTACAAAGATCTCTGCTTTCACGACTGTGAGGAACATGTCGATCCAGATTCCGGTGAGAACATTTTCAACCTCAGCGCTTTTCGCGTTGTTTGAATTGAGAACGATACCTATCAGTTAGCACCACGGTGATTTTCGCGCATCTGCTGCATGGGACCGTGATTTTTTTTTGAATCTCTGAAAAGGTCTGTGAGCACTTACAATTAGAGAGTTTCGGCACAATCACCGAGTCTCATGGACATCTTAGCGCACCGGCACCAAAGGCTACACCAAAATGATTACTCAATGCACAAACTTTCTTTGATAAAAGGTTTGCGTAAGGCCGCGCCGCGGCTGTTCATCAACTTCGCTTATGGCCTAAGACTTTCTCGTTAGCAGGAAATCACAAATTCATTAAGAGTCAAAGAGCCAGGCATATTTTAACTTCTGCTATCTATCAGTTGTATCTATCAGCAGATTTGAAGGCGCGGTGTCGTGCCGCTCATTGCCGTCTCTTTGAAAGTATTTGTATCAGATTTGCTAATCCCGAGCCTTTCAGTGGATCCGATGATGGAGAGTAAGGACGGCGTGAGAGTGCTGGAGGTGCTGTGCCGCTCATTTGATGGAGTTCTACTGGACGCTAAACATTTCCGTACTCACTGGTTCAACCAGAGACGCGAGACTATCTTACCTTGTGTTGATCACAAGGATCTTAATATTGCAGCTAATCACAAGAAGTATATGTGAGTTTTTTTTAGCGAGTTTGGCTTAACTGACTTGCTGGATAGACCTGTTGCAGCTCTTCACTAAATGATATCTATCAAAGTATTATGCTTAAAAAAGGGGAGTTGGATGAACGGATGTTTCTACCTGAAGACATTTCTAATGTTTTTGATCCGGCTTTCGATAGTAAGTTCCACAACATACTTGTATTACTTCATTTCATTATCAAGTGTTTTTCAATCGTTTTCGTGGATAGTCTGCTGTTGTAGTCTCGCGCAAGCGAGTGTTGAATGCCTGCGTCGAACGATCGAGTAGTCGGTAGGTGTCTACCTCACACTCGGTTGTGCGATCAACGATTGCAAACTAATATTGTTTATGTTGGGCCCAAGTATTTGCCTCTTTATCGAGCATCGCAAAGTTTGGTAGAATACAGTGTTTCGGTGAAGAACAGCCAACTGCTGAATTTCTAATGAATTCAGGCTCAGCTGTCGAGCTGCTCCGACGCGGATCCACAGACACTAGATTTGCTGATGCGGAACTTCTCCTGACAATGTCCACACAAGTATGATCTTATCCACGTTCACTAATACATGCCCTCTTTCAATACATTGTTTTCTCTTACGAGTATCCATGTTTAGAATTGTTTGGAGAAATTGGCTGAGGTGAAGCGCTCGCCGGTGCGAACGGACGCGAAGAGGTTAGTTTACTGTTTGCGCTTCTTCTGTCTGACTCCTTTTTTAGTCAATTTCGACATTCCAGCTATGTGATTTCCTCTCAGCAATTGCGACCACTGTGTCCGATCACCCAAACCGATACATCTGCGTCATCAACGCAACGGCTCAGTGGTATAGTGCCAAGTGATTTCAAACTCGAGGGATCGGCTTTGCAACGGTACTGCTTGCAGACGAAGGATAATCCTCTATCGGTGATCGAACTCAGTGCGTACATGATTGGCGAAAGGTACGAATCCTTGTTTTTGTTCTCGACATGATTATTATTGTGCTCAGAAAACGCTATTTACTGCTGCTTTTTTTTGACGAGGCTCCACTACACTGACCAATTCTGTAACTCTGTTTCATTTTGATTACTTTGTAGTTTTTGGGGGTTTGTCGCCTTCAACTCATTGAAATTTATCATCTTGCTAGAGGACTAGAATGGTGTTCAGTGTTTGATAAGGCGCGATCTGATTCGCTACCATTTACAGGTTCGTTGAGAAAGTTGCTGCAGAGTGTAACGATCGAGAAGAATTGTTTGATCCATCTATATCTCAGTCTCCAGACGAACATCGAAAAGCTATGACGATGCTTATTCTACGTTTTAGTGGAACACATCGTTTTGGGCGAGAGAAAACAAAATCCAGATCGAGATTTTCAGGTGTGGCGATGCTTTCTTCTTTGTTGATTTTCTTTGAAGGCTGTATTGGCCCGGTGTCAAAATTCTTCAATTCCAGGGTCTTTTACGCAAAGAAGAATTCCTCTCAGCAGTTTTTTGTTGCGCTATGGAATTGGTCTTGTTCGTACAGCAGAGTGAACGTGTCTTTCCATGGTGTTTAGAGGTTGGTCGCAGTTTACTTTCATGTCCTTTTTCTTTTCTTGAATTGAGTCTCTAGTTGAGGTTACGGCTTAAAGGATTTTTTTATATTAAGTTGGTGCACAAGTTTTGCGACGCATGTGACTTCTTTTCAAACTTCTCCGCTTGAAAATCCGTAAGCACTGATGTATCCCAGCAACAGAACCCTTCGGCGCAAGAGATAGGAAGCAAGTTCGATTATGTTGTACAGTGATATCTAATTTATGAAAAAAAAAACAAAATTTCGGGGTATGGCACACGTGTCGCAAAGCTTATGCACCGATCTGACGCCATGAAGAGATCCATTTCTCACTAAAGTGTTTTTAGTGGCGTCATCTTCGACATCTATTCGATTTTATTAGCAGCCTTGGCTTTCGGTAGTCTATGCTGTTCAGGATAAGGGTAGCACATTGCTTTGATGGGGTTGAGCAGCGCTGTGAGTGCAAACTAGATGATTCACTTGTAACTGGGACCACTTTCCAAGTCCTACGCAATCTCACCTTCCGATACTTCTTAGGCCAATGACAGAGTCCGCGATCCGTCGCAGGTTTCGCTGATTTCAGCGATTTGCGCGATTTGCGCGAAACCTGCGATGGATCACAGGAGTTGGAAGTGCCCGATGATACTGCGAGGTGCTGTTTAATCCTGCTGCGAATTCTGCTTGACAGTGAAGATTGAAAGACGACTGTTCGTGATTCTACTTGTTTCATGTTCAATGTCTATCAGTTCATTGAAATGCTCATGATTCGTTCCTATTCTATCCTATAATTCTAGATTCTATAATATCAAACAAGTGGAATCATGAGGGCAGTCGTCATTCAGCCATCACTATCAAGCAGAAGTGGCGGCGGATTGGAGAACACCTTGCAGTATTGATCGGGCACTTGTGATTTCCGTGACCCGTCGCGCAAATCGCGAAAATCGCGTGAATCGCGCAAACGCGAAAATCTGCGAAACCTGCGATGGATCCGGACTCTGACACCTTATGCTTTTTCTTTTATGTATTACACTGCTATCGTGCACGTGTACAAGTAGACCAACAACGGGCCTGGGATTAGATGACAGTCTTGAGATTTCCTTCTACTTTACTGCACATTGCATCACGAACGCATAGGTTTTTTTTCAGGTTTGTGGCCTGCCGGCTATAAGTTTCCAAAAAATCATTGAAGTTGTCGTTCGCAATGAGCACCAGCTGACAAGGGAAATGGCTCGGCATTTGAACAAAGTAGGTTTGACATCGCGGCCCTTCTAGCATTTATTCACGTTTGTTTAGCTGTGTTTTTTTTTGAAGCTTGAGGAACGAGTTCTGGAGGAGCTGGCTTGGGACACATGATAGCCCACTTTGGACATCGTTGAGTCGGAAACCGGACAGCGTTCCTACATGTGAAGAAGCATGGGGTCAAGCGAAAAGCACTATCATTGTTTCGCCTAGCAAAAGAATGTGAGAATTATATTTGTAACTATTCACTGTGATCTTGAACCATTATCTTTTAAGGCGCTACGAGGTGGATCCTAACAATTTGCCTCATAATCAGCTGCCTCCATGTAGTGCACAAATGTCGTTTTTCAGCAAGGTAAGCCTAATCAGTCTATCTCACGGCCAGAATTGTGTGAACTGATAGCTATGCAGGCTTTTTGAAATGAAATTCTGCGGCAAAATGGCGCAGCAACCTCCTAATGACTTTTTTTTCGAGTTGAACGGCTGGTGGATGAAGGGTGTATTTTCCATTTCAGCTATACTATCTTGCTTCCATGCGCCTTTCGGACATTTGTGAGCGAATTCGGATAGACGAACGTGGTCGGCGAATGATGTGGACTGTGTTGGAACACATTTTGAAAGAAGAACGATCACTTCTAATTGATCGACATCTGGATCAGAATTTGCTTTGTATAGTGTGAGTGCTCATTTGCGTACTCCCTTCAATTTGCTGAGATATACGTTCCTATCCATCTCTCTACTCTTCCGGTTATTTGTGATCAACCTCAATCAACCTTTCTCCGTTCAATATTGGCGAACTTGTGTGTCCATCTAGGTGCTGTGCTTTTTCACACTAAAATTTCAACTATTTGATCTTTCGTGTTTCTCGTTCTCCCATAGCATTCTGATCAGTACGCTGTAAGTACCCATAGCATGATAACTTCGCTGGTATTGTTCCTTCCTGCTGTTTGTGTGGATGTGACGTGCACGGACATGTACTTTGTCATGAGAGTGCCAATAATGACTTGGTTTGGTAGGAATCATCATTCATATTCGATTCACAATTCATTTCTATTTGCAGTTACATAGTGTGCAAAGCGAACAAGGCAGACGTTTCATTTGTGGACATTATGTCTCATTACCGCAATCAACCGCAGTCCCACTCGCGTATCTATCGCATGGTTCGGGTGGACTCAAGCATGTCAGTTGCTAATTCCTTGAATAGAACTGAAGTTTGATCGCTTACTTTTTGTTTTGGAAAACGAAATTTAAAGTGCGTTAAAATGAGAAGGCTTGCAATGGAATTTCAGATGTCCGTCGAACGGGAGTTGTCGCAATGGTGATGTAAGCTCCAACGAATCTTCTGCGGCCAATTCTCAGCAGCTACGGAGTGACTCAGAAGTCGGACCATCTCCAGAGGTGCCAGTCGCGCTGGATGGCTCAACCGCGATAGTGATTCCTACGACACCCGAACCGCAGTCAGCATCTGAGCACCATGTTGATCTGATAGTCTACTACAACAAAGTGTTTTTGCCACGGTACGGATATTTCTAGTATTATGCTACACATGTAGGGGATTTCTTGTAGTAAGGAGAAGGATTGCCAGGTCCTTCCTAAGGTCCTCTTTGTTGCTCGAGTCTTTGAACTACATTTTCAGGCTAGAAGGGTTTATGAGGCATCTAAGTGAAAGTTCCACATTGGCAAGTCTAACACCGATGCCCACACGACGGATTCCTCGCGGAACACCTTTGAAGAGGAGTCTTTCGGATAAGGTAATACATATCTCCATAGCTTTTTCATTGTTTGGGCGTACCTATTTCATTATTTCCATGTTTGCTAATGCTAATATTGCTTCAGTATACTTTTTCTTCAGGTTACCGTAGTACCATACAGTCAGTTGCCGTATATGCAGCGAGACGTGACCAGTGTCCGATACAAGATAACCCAAAGCCCGAGTCGAGTAAGTGTTATTTTCGTGAAGATATAGTTTGGTGATGATACTGCGGCTTAATGCAGGATTTCCGAGCCATAAACCGACTTCTCAGTAGACCTCGGCCAATGTACAGAATCGCTGGAGCACCACAGGTAGCCGCTCCTTTGTTATTTGCTAAGTATTAGCTGAGATTTTGTTCACTCTTTCAATTTGTTTCAACATGATAGTTTTTTTTTGTACATCCAGTTTAACTGTACCATTATAATGTTGTACATAGTTTTTCATTCCCATATTTTGTTTAGTTTATCTTTTGTGTCATGGTTTCCCTGTGTTGTCTCTCAATGTCTTGAACTCATGAAAGCCAAAACACTGCATGGGTCGTTTTATGGTACGCTAGTAACATTAATCAGATCTTTTTATGGAAATTTAGAGTTACGTTGCATAAAAGGTGTAAGTAATGACGTGGTTGTAAATTTCTTCTTAGTTTATAAGTTTTCAGTTGTAAAATGCAGATGTTTGAAATCCTTGCTTCTAATAAAATAATGTACTCTTCTGGTTTAATACATTCGTTTGACTCCATTACTCGAGTCGTTGTTAAGGACTTGTATCATCAGGCAGATATCAGACTTTGCGATTTGCGAGTGCGCGCACTGTAGCGGCGGGGCTTGGTTAGAGCCACCCAAACAGTGGGACCGCGACGACGACAAGGTATCGCACACATAGATGACGACAATAAAAGGCGGTAAGGGTCCGATTTTCCCGATTCCTTCAATTTTGTAGGTCAGCCGGTGTGGTCACAAGTGACGTTCCTGTTGGGAAAGAATGCAAGAATTTTCTGGGAACAATTTCTTTAATAACCAGTAAGGTCAAATGAAAAAAAAACATAAGAACATCAACTCAACAACGCGCATCATTTAGGCATCGAACCACCACACAATTTCATTCACGAATCGCGTCTTTTAATTCGATTACAGATCCTGTGCGTTGTGAGCGGTACACTTCCGCAGTTTCGTGGCCCCATTGCTCTGATGAAATCCTGTTATTGTGAAGGAGGTTTATGTCTATCCATTTGCGATACGGACGAATGGTGTAAAGCGACGTGAGTGGACTCGATACTGGAAGAAGTCCAAAAATTGTAACGATGTTATATTCAAAAAAGGGTGGTAGATGTACAGTAGATCAATGAGGTAGTATATCACGGCAACAACGAAGCCAATCTGTAGGCAAGCCTGGATGACGAACGCCTTGAAAAAGTCGGGATTTCAAATTTCTGACTCTCTGTTGAAGCAATAACACGCTTACCATGCATACGACTAGAGCGGTATCTTCACAAAATCGCACAGGCCTTGAATTCGCATTCGGCCCATACAATATTGCGCATACCAGCTTTTGAGCTGCTCTTACGCTCTACGACATATACTTATTGGGAGGCTTGGCTAGCACGGATTCGCGCTAGTACATCTGTAATACCTATGCGCCTTTGCGTACCTGTTTGCGAACGAGTAATCACTGGTAATACCTATTGAATAGCGGTGGAGTTTATCATCACAAGCAGTCTAATATAAGAGGTAGAGATGGTCCCGTGATTGAGAAAAAGCCATAAGAACGACCAAAAATCTGGAAAGGACTCCTCCTTGCCCGTCAATTTCCTCACTTATTGCGATTTTCACTGGTGCTGACCTCTCTAAAGCCTCTCTCTCTCGTGAACGACTAGAGACCTACGGCGAGGGTTGCCAGTTGTAGGCGTGTCGCGGCGATAGCGGTGCAGGAGGGCCATGCTAGATCTCCGGGGGCTACGTCGCTGCGAACTCGGTCCACACCCTTGGGGAGTCCATCTGTTTTTCCACAAGGAAGTTGCTCCTTCTCCGACTTTCGACCTTTTCGTGGAATCCCCTCAGCGCCTTTTAATGCCACTTAAAGCACGTCTTCTGTCGCGATAGCGTCTGTATTCATGGCCTTTCACAGATCGCCTTTCTCCACTACGCACGGACACCCAATTTATCGTGACTCTGCTTCTAAGGAAATAGTCCAACCTGGACCAAGTGTGGCTCCGATCTCATACAGGATGCTTCGAGGTTATTCCCCTGCACTTGACCTTTGATCATCAAAAACCGATGTTTGCCGTCAGAGTCGTGTCGTAGGCGCTGGCATCGCCACAGCCACTGCCCATGCAACCACGGTCATCCGTCCCGTTCGCTCTTTTCCAAAATTCTTGCGCCCATCTCCAGCCCCTCTTCAGGGGGTTATGGCAGGGTGAATATTTTGTTGAGGATTCCTCAACGGCACGTCGAGGATTTTCGCCTGATCCTTTACGTTCTCGCGCGCGGATATTCACTCTCGCCACCCGCGAGCCGTCTGTGCTCTCCGCGCGTACATTCACTATCGGCTCTACTCTCGCACAGCAGAGAGCGATGGTCGAGGAATTCCTCGACCGTTATTCACCCTGCGTCGTGATGCTACCCCCACCACTACCATTAGCCTTGAGGGCCTACCCAATACCTACAATCTTCGCTATCGTGACTGTTTCTATAGTTCATAGTATTTGATTCTAAGACTAGTCTACATAGCCCGACTACGCCCACTTTGCTCTTCAAAATCTGCGGTCCAGCAGGAGGGGATGGGGGGATTAATTAACTAATGCGGCAAATCTTCCAATTTCGCTTGTTTTCACCTCATTCGCGACATTTTCGCCAAAATCATAAAGTACCCCGTGAACAAATACGACCCCTATCTGCTCTTTTTTTTCAAACACGGTTAACCTTTCTCAACCCCCAGTGTGACCCTCTCGGTCCCAAAATTGCGAATGCGACCCTCTCGTTCAAATAGTGCGAACAGACGGTTTGCCTTGCTTGCAACGCTATGATGAGCAGTCATTTGACCTTACCATTAGCCAGGTCAGGTAAATGAGCGAGGTGGTACTACTTCGCGGAGCTGGTGATATCATCCCAGTCCTCCTCACACTGGAGAATCGCGTGTACTGCGTGCAGATTGCAATGGTTCTCTATAAATATACCTTCAGCAACTGTGAATGAAGTAGACGAGTCTGACTGACATGGTCGTTGAAGAGTGCGGCCTTGAGATGGTGAGTTTTCTGAGAATAAGACTAGCAATACAAATAGGAGTAGCTGGCATTATAATGTAATTCAGGTGGCCGCTCACGCACTCGGAGCTCGTGTCATATCCAGTTTTCCTTTCGATTTCTCGTCTAACCTCTGCTACATCATCGCTGGCAAGGGAGAATAGTACCCAAGTCAAGAGCGACACAATTTGATGTTTGTATTGAATTACTGCCCAATTTCGAGATGCTCAGTTATTACATATTACGTTCCACAGTTGTTTCAAACATCATGCACAGCGTTACTGCGTGCAGTGAAGCTAGTAAAGGAGGACTGTTCGCCTGCCTACGTAGTATACAGGGTGGCCAAAAAAGAGACACTTTGCTCATGACACATGTCAGCAAGCCTTCAACTCGTACAGGCTGCCGTGGTCGAAGTCCTTCGACAATATATTCCTAAAATGTCACTTCATGCGCAGACGAAATCCCCTGTTCGCTGCCCTCGTCTTCTTTGAATATAACGTCATCTATTTATTTAAGCCCGAAACAGTTTCATAACTTCTTCAATTGGTTAACGGGAGTGTAGCTTTCCAGAGACAGTAGCTGTGACTATGCAAGATCCCTTGCGACGATCGTTTCATATGACGTCATAATAGTCCAGCGTCGAGGACAGCGTTGAGCTGGAACTGTGCACAACGTTCCCATATCGGCTACTATTAGGTTGGAAAGAAAGTCCTGCAACACTTTTTCAAATTTTTGATTTTAATTTTATCTTTTTTGGTTACAACTCCTGACCGGTCTTATATCTACCATGAGTGTCCACCACTTGTCTCAACGCTCAGAAAATTTCTTGATGCTCCTTTGCCAAAACCCAGCGGAGTGCGGGTCGAGAAAGGAGGCGACCTCACTTTCGAGTTGGAGTTGATCGTCTAATTATTTCGTTATCAAGATGATGATTAAGGTCCAGGATAGGTAGCAGTCATTTATAGCTCGACCAGGGGAATACGCTAAGAGAGGAAAGAAATCTTGCCGCAGCTCCAGAATTTCTTACCGGGCTCATTTCGGATCATGGTGATTCGCAATGTCATGAAAGAAATAAATATTGTCGCGGTACGAGGGCTCCTGACGAGCTGCCTCGGCCAGCTTCTGGAGTTCCGCAGCCTAGACCTCTACCTACACAATGGTGCCCATAACGAAGAATTTGTAGTGGAGCTTCCGTAAGAGCCCTACCTGTAATGGAGTGTGAGGGACGCTGCTGGCTTCTTATAAAAATATCAAAAGATCGAAAGCGCTGGTAAAGGTGAAACACGCTGTAGCGGTGAACGGCATGCCTATTGAAGCTATTGCAGATAGTGTCAGTCGTTGACACGAATCCATAGTTTTGGAGACATTTGTACTAGACAGTGACTCGGAGTACGGATTTACTAGTGGTCGAGGTTTTTTGAATTTTCTTGGATAACTACTGACTGCAGCACTTATATCCACCTCGTGGATTGAAGCCTCGAGAATGCTCTACCATTTGTTAGTCATAAATGTTACCTATGAATTTTTCAGAAAAAAAAAGAAAATTTTAGAAAGAGTGTTGCAGAACTTTCTTTCCAACCTAATATGACCTTCACTGATATTCTGTGATAGACTCTTCAATTTTTGATACCCCCGGAGGTTAAAGTTTTTAGTTGATTGGCGGGAGTATTTGTTTTGAATCTAGCATGTAGTTAGTGTTGTTTTGAGGTAAAGTGAAGTGTCTCTTTCTTGGCCACTCCTGTATACAGGGAGGGCCAGAAAAAAAAGACATTTTGCCCATGTCGCACTTCGGCCTTTTTTCTTCGCAGAGATTGCCGTCGTTGACGGAAGTTCCTCAGCAAAATATTCCCTAAATGTCCCTCTATAAGTACACGCAGGCCCTCCTTCACTGCCCTCACCGTCTTCAGAATATGACGTCATCTGTCACCGTCGTCGAGCTCAGGGAGGCCTACAGTAACTGCTTCAGCCTGAAGCTCTTAATTTCTTGGATCGATTCAACGTGGGATAGTTTCCTAGGGACATTAGCTCTAACTATGCAAACCCCCTCGGAACCCGCCCTTCGGAACCCGTCGTAACGGTACACGATCAGTCGAGAACCCCATTGAGCTCGACCAGAGCACCATGTTTCCGGGGCAAATTTTCTGATGCCGTCCACGTAGATGGCCACTATGAAGATTTTCTTATGAAATGAAATGCGCTCTTCAATTCTAAGTTGGGAGCACACGCTTTGAGCTGAGCAAAGTGTGATTAAATCCATTTGAGTCTGGAGACAAAATGTCTTTTTTTATTGCCCCCCTGTATATGGTAGAAATTGCTTGTGATATACCATGACCAGTAAGCAGGGCCAACCGCGTTGTGCACGTCTGAACGAGAGGGTCGTGTTTGAAGATTTCTTTAGGGAAGGGGTCGCTTCAGACGTTGGTGAAGGTTGAAAGACTGGAAAAGGAGGGGAGTCGTTTTTCTGGAAGCTGGGTGGATTGTGATAGCGGGAGATTGACTTGACTAGATCTTCAGATGCATCATTGTCTTTTGTATGTAATTCTATGGTTTCGTGGTTTCATGACCAATTTGGTAGATGGCTCCATGTTATCCGAAACGAGGGATTTGCTACTCTCAAGCGCTTCCAAATGAATGCTTTCCGAGATCTGCCGTACGCGAATTATGCATCGCCACCGTGATTTTCACTTGCAATACACATGATGGATTTTCTCGTAAAGGTGGATCGGTTACGGAAGTCGAAGCTGAATATTGTCAAAAAGCGTATCCATCTGGATTTAGTGAGGACCAAGATTGGTTCCAGATTCCCATGAAATTAGTTCCAGATTCGGAAGTATCAGGATAAACGGTGCGAAAGCCCCGCAGCGAAAGCTTGGAACACACGCTTATAAATGCCACAAACTACAAGCTCTCCTTAAAGGTAGAAGAGGAAGACAGTTAAAAATATCTAGAGCTGGCCGAAGGGAGCCCGTATGAATACCGACGAGGAAAACTTTGATATTATTCGTAGAAGATCATACCTTCATTTGAGAAAACTCAGAAATCGCTACGTGGGGTTTCGAGGAAACTAGCAGAGCAGAAACAACGCGAATCAAATACAACTTCCATACCTAGCGATGAAATGAAACTTAGTGACCGTGATTTCCTCATCACATCATCAGTTGGTTATCGCATGTGGGAGTAAAATCTTGAAGCAAGTAGTATGCAAAATAGCAGTTAATTCTCGTCAGCTTCACTACTCATAGCGATTACATTCACTAGCAAGGTGGTATGCTGGCTCAAGGAAGGAGTTCTGTGATTGTCTGCTGTAGAGCCCATTTGTCTGACTTTGAAGCTGCCACAAAGATTTTCCGGCCAACCTCTAATTTGAATGTAGCGGACTATTGTGGTCCATATTAAGCTGAAGTGCGCCAAATAACACGGTTAGATTTTAGATTTTTTGGTACGGTTAACAGCTGCTCATCAAAAATAGCAGGTGGAGTTTCATAGGATGTCATGCGGGCAACCAATTACCGTCGAGTTCTTTTGAGAAAACGGCCAAGTTCATAGACAGCCATTTTGAATAAGAAATATAAACAACTCTTTAGAAGAATATGCCGATGCATTGCCGCATTTCATGTCCCGTTTCGAGATTCCTATTTTGAATTGGGCCACAATTGTTGTCATCATATTTCTGCCCCTCCCTGTAGATCCTTTATTGCACATGTACGCTAACCAGAAGCAAGTAGTCGAACAACCAACAAGATGTCGCATTTGTAGTTTTCAAATGAAGAATCGTGTTGAAGGCGCTGGAGGGGAGGATAAAGGATAAAGGATAAAGCATTTGCCGTTGATCAATCCCTTTTTGGGATGCGGCACGCATTCTACTTCCATTTGTACATTCGTAGTGGCGTTTGAATGCGATGTGGCCTATACAATGACTTGCGGGGGCCAGCCGATGTACAAGTCAGTGTTTTTATCCTCCCAGACAAGTCTGGTACCAATTAACCGACCCCGGAGGGATGGAAGGCTTGGTTGGCCCGGGCGACTCACGACCCAGGATTTGATCCCCGGACCGCTCGCGTGGTAAGCGTGCCACTTGCCACTACACCACTTCCGCCCTAAGGATAATGGATGAAATGCGAAGGAGTTTTGTCAGCAGGAGGGGATCGTTTTTGGGACCAGAGGATCTCTTCCATGAGTTCCACCGCGAAATCCATTATTTTGGCATGTCAGCTGTATTTGTGCTCCCCGCCATTAGAATGCGTTTCTGGAGATGGTGAAAATTTACTTCATCGGAAAAAGTTGATAACCTGTTTGGCAGTAAAAAGCTAGTGAGCAATCATCATTAATGTCCTTCTGGGTTCGTTAGTTAGTTAGTGATTTTCTCTTTGATTCGGTTGAGTGGTTCTTGTGCTTCGGTTAGGCTTTGAGAATAATTTCAAACCAATGAAGAATACGATTATGGCATAACGTAGAGCCAATGACTGACTCGTTCCGCATGATTCACGATCACTTATTAAATTGTTCCACCTGAAGGGGCACGTCAAGAGCAGCAATAGTTTTCGTCTGAATAAAAGCATCCTCCAGTGATCACCATGTGAAATTAGTCATTGCTCTGGACATCTATGATGTGTTAGATCTTTATGCATGCCATCGCAGAGCCTGCATCAATTTTACTGGTGGCTCTTTTGGTACCATTGAAAAGACACTGGGGCGTTGTTGGAATGGGATCTCTGAAAAACTATGGGGGAGATACATACATCACTTCTAGGCTTATACATGAAAGTGAATTTTCTATTATATTCCTCAGGATACGTCTTAGTCCTTATAGTTGCTCCCGCACTAATCAGTACCTCGACCTAAGTTCTGTCCAGAGCAGTGCGAAGGCGAGAAGTTTTTTAATTGACTCCACAACTTCGGAGCCTCTTTCTTTCCAGGGTTTAGACGCTCAAACGTTTTTTTTCAAGTATGAAATCATCCTTATTAGTAGTAATCAAGCTCAGTAACAGTAAGCTTAATATGTCTGTAAAACAGAATATATGAAGCTTGCCGATTATCTCCATTTCTATTTGTAACCCCCATAGAGAAAAAGGCGAGATTACTAGTTAGTCTTCATTCGCGTTCTCGTATTAAGGAACATAAGGCTGTGCGAATTTCATGCATGTATGTTTTCTGAGCAAAATTTCATATTTCCAGTTCCCTAGGCACCCGTGATGCTCAAAGCAGCAGCACTTGAGGCTCACTTTAGTGGCTATGGAAGTTTTGAGATATCCGTAAAACTTCTTTACGTTAATATGAATGATAAACATACATAGAAACTCTGTTCCATAAGTCAGTCGACTGATATTGTAGTTTCTGAATATTTTTCTATATATTATGCAGTAATCATTGTGAATTCGAATTCCCTTATTCCGAAATCGAGCTATCCTAATGACGTGACTCTGCTCTGAGAACAATCCTTATGTGACCGATGGCCATGTAAGGATTAGACGAGTTATTTAAAGCACCTAGGCAGGCAGAATTTCTTTATGATTCACTCCTTTGTTCAATAATGTTGCAGTGCAATCGGTGTTCTTAGAAAGCTTAATGTGCGTATCCCTTCGGCTTCTCCTAGGTATCCTTCTGTTTCAGAAACGCACTGGTCAGACGACTCTTCATCCATCGTAGGAAATATGTTGCTTTCTCGAAGCCTCTTGATGGTCTCATCATTCAATTTGAGACACTGAAATGAAATCTTTCCTCAAAAATTCGAAACTCGGAAAACCCAAACTTATTTCCTGTAGAATTTCAGTTCTCAACTCATTTCTCAGGAAAAATCTAAATCTGAAACAAAATCACTCTACTACTGGAGGAACACAATGGGGCATCCAACGCGTTTGATGTTCCTTTATGCGCTGCGTGTTTTACTTTCACCCACATCGTAATAGCCGTTGAATACGAAATCACGCTATTGTGTCAAGTCTGCGGAAACCAATCGATGTATAAGAGTTTTGTGAGTGGTTTAATCCTTCCAAACAGGGCTGCTTTTAACCAAGTAATTTGAAGGTTGAAGGCGTGGATGCCTTAGCGAGGAGATGTAGTGCTAATTGCCGCCGTTGACAACGCTTTTAATTCTTGGGTTCAATCCCCGGACCGTGCACATGGTGTACGGTGCCATTTGTCACCACCGTTCCCACCATCTCACATCAGTTCGATAGTACATATATCAAGTATGTATATCAAAAGTGACTCGCCTTTAGTATAGTTATTCACGAGACTATAATCTGAGGGAGGAAATGACTTCCTTTCTCTACCTTGTACCTTGAAATAACCACAAGAATATAGAAGGGTCGAATGCATGTCATTGTGCAGGTCACACATTGGCTAGGAGTCCTTTATGTATTATATAGGCTGTCTCATAAATAGTGTCGCTTTTTTCAACCAGAAAATTTTTGTCTAGATCTCCATGCTTTTACATCGTGTCGTAACCCATTATCTGCTCTACAATAATGCTATGTTCCCACTTCCACCTCTGTTCCAGGTTTTCAAATTTTAGGCCTGCGAAATGGGAGGTCCAGCCGACAAAAATTGACCAAACCGACAACTAGCTCTAACTTTATCTTCCCTTGGAGAAATCAATCAATGATGTACCTCTACTTACTCATGACCTCTTCTGAACATTCCACTCTTAGGTTGCCGAAAAAGCTTTGCCGTGTTTCTTTTCGAATTGGCTGACCGATAAGCCATAGCAATTTTCAAATTAAAATTGTTCCTCGTAAACGCCATTGTTTCATATCGAGTGGTGTTCCTTTTGTGAGCACTTCTTCTGCTCTATTCGCTCATTTGTTTTGTTTTATGTTTGTTGGGAATTAGTTCGAATTTTAGGTGTTTAGGAATAAGGTGCTTTATCCACGAAAGTGACCGCATTTCTTTGAAAAGAAATTATCCTTGAGGAGATGAGAAAACCAACCAGGCGTACATTCCTAACTTAGTCATGACTTGTTCTTGAAATTCTACTAGTTTTTCAATGTCTCGGCTGTAAAAAAATTTCGACCTCGATCTCAGGTAATGGTGCTCGTCGAGTTCTGGTTGAAAAACCAGGTCTGAAATGGAACGACGCGACTTGTTGGAAACCTAATAGTGTAATGTTTCAGAAGAGGTCATGCATAAGTAGAGGGTACATCATTGATTGATTTCTCCAAGGGAAGATAAAGTTAGAGATAGTTGTCGGTTTGGTCAATTTTTGTCGGCTGGACCTCCCATTTCGCAGGCCTAAAATTTGAAAACCCTGGAACAAAGGTGGAAGGGGAACATAGCATTTTGTAGAGCAGACAATTCTCTTTCGAATGGTATACAACACGATGTAAAAGCATGGGGATTTAGATGAAAATTTTTTGGATGAAAAAAAGCGACACTATTTATGAGACAACCTAATAGTTGTAGCTCACAGAACTAATCACGAACTGCCTTCCGTTAAGATTTCGAATGTATGGAATAGTGAGTTTCTAAAAGTCTCTGGCTGAAATATTTTCTTGTTTCAGGGAATGGATTCTATATGGCTCACTAGCTTCATCATACATTTTGTCTCGAACACATTTGGTGTTTCCGCCAACATTCTTTTAGTTTATCTTGTTCTGAAGAAAACTCCGAACCAGCTCGTCACTTATTCTATTCTTATTCTCAACTTTGCTATCTGCGACCTTGTTGCGTGCACTGCTGCCTTATTCGTTCACCCAAGGTAAGGCTCAAGCAATATTTCAGCTCATTTTTGAATGAATTAGCAATTTGCATGACGCGTCTGGACGTGCTTGAGTTCATTGACAGAACGGTGAGCCATGTGAGCCAATGATAAGCGCTGTGAATGAATTCACTTCCCGTTGTGGCATTTTTTTTTTAGGCTGTCTTAAATGTTCAAATGGAAGTGATGTGGCTGCATCCCAAAATGGGATTGATCAACGGCAAATGCTTTATCCTTTACCAGTTTTGCTTCGCCCGCTATCGCGCGCATCACACGGCAGGCTTTAGCGAAATTGGAGGACCCATGGAATATCAGCATGAGATACTCCATTAACCATCTCACTATTGACTGTGTTAGACCCTCCACAGTTTCACTGAAGCTCATCGAGAATACGCGTGATAACGTCTGAGCTGAACTGGTATATTGATCACAACTCTGTAAACATCCAGCATTTTTCTTGAATTAAGATAATTTAGCGGTGAATAGGATTACTGTCAATCTCAGAATTAAAACGAAATATGCCTATTTACATAAGTGAGGAGCTAAGGCTTATCATTTATTTACTTTTACCATTATTTAGAACCCTGAAAGGATTAGCGGTTTAATGAGTTTGGGCTTTCGTGATAGAAATGAAACTTATCATTTGCTGAAGACTTGATTGAATTTATGCAATCGATACTACTACGACATACTACAATTTGTAAGTAGGAACGCTCTAGTGTCAACGCTGCGTAACGGAATTGACGACTTTTGCGTTCTGGCGCGCCTTATCGGCCCTTATCAATCGTTATCAGTTTCTGGCACCCACCAACAATGTCCCCGTCCCACCCCACATAACACTTGTAAGTATGGTTGCTCTGGTGTCAACGCGAGCCAGGCAACGGAATCGACGACTTCAGCGTTCTGGCGCGCCTTATCGGCCCTTATCAATCGTTATCAGTTTCTGGCACCCAACAATGTCCCCGTCCCACCCCACATAACACTTGTAAGTATGGTTGCTCTGGTGTCAACGCGAGCCAGGCAACGGAATCGACGACTTCAGCGTTCTGGCGCGCCTTATCGGCCCTTATCAATCGTTATCAGTTTCTGGCACCCACCAACAATGTCCCCGTCCCACCCCACATAACACTTGTAAGTATGGTTGCTCTGGTGTCAACGCGAGCCAGGCAACGGAATCGACGACTTCAGCGTTCTGGCGCGCCTTATCGGCCCTTATCAATCGTTATCAGTTTCTGGCACCCACCAACAATGTCCCCGTCCCACCCCACATAACACTTGTAAGTATGGTTGCTCTGGTGTCAACGCGAGCCAGGCAACGGAATCGACGACTTCAGCGTTCTGCGCGCCTTATCGGCCCTTATCAATCGTTATCAGTTTCTGGCACCCACCAACAATGTCCCCGTCCCACCCCACATAACACTTGTAAGTATGGTTGCTCTGGTGTCAACGCGAGCCAGGCAACGGAATCGACGACTTCTGCGTTCTGGGTGGGCCTTATCGGCCCTTATCAATCGTTATCAGTTTCTGGCACCCAGCAACAATGTCCCCGTCCCACCCCACATAACACTTGTAAGTATGGTTGCTCTGGTGTCAACGCGAGCCAGGCAAGGGAATCGACGACTTCAGCGTTCTAGCGCGGCTTATCGGCCCTTATCAATCGTTATCAG